AGAGAGAGAGAGAGAGAGAGAGAGAGAGTATCATCTTCCTTCACTGAAAGAAAAACTAGTTGAAAATTGCAGCTGGCAGTGCTAAAAGTCTCCAGAAGGTGGCGACATGAGATTAGAAATTCAATAAGAAATCCATTTGAAGTTTTCTGTGGAACAATTCAAAACAAGCACATTTCAGAAACTCAAAGAAATCCACATGATTCATAATGGCGCTTTATTCAACTAAAAGGTAAAAAAAATGAAAAGAAAAAAATGTTAAACTGGCTTTTAGTAGATAAACTGAAAAGCAGTTCAACTATGATATACTGAAAATTAAAAAAAAAAAAATCTCCAAGCACAAAAGAGAGTGATTTGATCAAAAAGAGCAGTAAACTTCATTTATTAGCACAGTGAGAGCAGCTTCCCACAGGACCAGAGACTCTCAGAGGAAGATGGTTGTCGTAGTAACAACACAGAAGTAGCTCAAGCATCACTAGATCGAGAGAGCAACTGCACACTGCAAATGTTCCTGCACTGCAACAACACAACAGCCGTTAAAATACAGCACTTTAAATCAAGCACATTCACCAGGGAAGAGGAATCCGGCCTCTGAATGAGTTCTAATGCACACTGAAGCCCAGGCTGCTGTCATTGACGGATGAGGGATTGAGCTGCTGCTGTTATTTCTAGTGCTGCTAAAGCCTCCAGAGATTTATAGAGCTGCGAGTCATATTCAGCCTGGCACTGACCGGGCCTTCTAAGAAGAGTGTTTTTAAGTTGGCATAGCTCATGTGTGAATACAAGGTTAGGGTCTTTAAAAAAAAAAAAAAAAAAAACTTTTGAAAGTCTAATTTAAAGCAAATGTCAATTTCTCTTTGTATTCATCTTGATTTCATACCATTTTCCTGAGGAAAAAAAAACGACCCTAAAAATGTCATGTGGTGTAATCAAGAAAAAATAATAATGTATATTCTTTAAACCTTGAATACATGAGTGTAAGTTATGCTTTAAAATGTGTTTTTCAAGGTGAAAAAATTTGTATTATTCTTTCTTAAACAAATATCATGAATTATTATTAATTAATATCATTACATTTTTAAGGACTCATAACACATGACATTTTACAATCTGAACTAACCTTGTCTTGTAATAAAAAGCTCAAATTAACAGATATTTGAAAAGACTTTAAAGATCATTTCACTTTGATCATCGTTTTTTTTCTGCAAATTGGTGACATTACATAACTGATTTGGTGGACAATAGTTTTTCAATAATTATTAGTGAAATAAATGTTAAGTTGCTGCAAATCAGTTACTTAAAATAATTTTTAAAAAAAACATTTTTCTTCATTATGATACAAGGACAGTCAACATTTCTGACTCCCCCCCCCAAAATCAAAATAAATTTTCAATTTAGAAATTAGAAGAAGTTAATTCAAGTCATTGTAGGTATGAACTGCATTTTTAATGTATTTTGAAATAAATTAACAGACCCGGACAAAAAAAATGAGCGCCATGAACTATTAAAAATTGTTAATACAAAAAGGGTCACAGCATCTGTGCATTGAGTGCGTCTCTTCATAAAATGATCAGTAACAGATAAGTAAAGCAAACCGAAAACGGGCGTAGGTGTGGTTAACGTATGAAAAAGCGTTCAATATTTTAATCAGACATGATATGGCTCATAAACGCTTTACAATTGTGTCATTTCAAAATACTTTGCTAGTTTGTTACAAAAATACGACACGTGCTGCATATCAGTGTATTCTTATCAGTGCCTGGAAGAATTCAGTAACTACACGTCGCACAAAAATGCAAACCTATTCGTTCTCTGATAGTCTAGTTATATAGATTTGAAACTAAAAGCATCATGTTCCTGGTTAGATCTGTCACAGAGCAGCAGCTGAAAGATCAACTTCAATCTCTCATTTTATCGGCTTAGCCAAGTAGAAAATGATTGTCTTGAGACATAAAAAAGTGTGGAGGAGAGACTCCAGCTATTATCAGTCCAAGGACGCTTGATGGGAGCAAACGGAGGATGGAGCTGAATATGTAAGGACAGAGAGACAGACAGAGGTGTGTGTGATTTTTTGCTTTTCAGTCAGTAGCAGTAGAGCAGTTATGTGCACGTTTTCCTCTTGTCGTCGAAGAGGCTGCGCAGCAAGTACACCTGGACCCCGGATACGATCACCATGACAACAAGGTTGGTACACGACCACAGGTTGACCCGCTCGCAGTTGCTCTCTTGCAGGGTGCGGTCGCGGGCTTCGAAGGCTTTCAGCAATGTCTGGATCTGAAGACTCTTTCCCAGTCGAGACTTCACGCTGTTGATGGTGTCCTGCAAAGAAACACACACTCTGAATGTGAATATTACTTGCATACACTAACACTGAATTTGATTTTGAAAGAAGTCTATTTGATCGAAAAATACAGTAAAAATGTTGAAATATTATTACAATCTAAAACAACCGTTTTCTATTTGAATATATTTTCAAATGTAATTTATTCCTGTGATGAAAACGGAATTTTTCAGCATCATTACTCCAGTCTTCAGTGTCACATGATCCTTCAGAAATCATTCTAATATGCTGATTTGCTGCTCAAGAACATTATAAGTATCTGTACTGTCATTTTTGATCAATTTAATGTATCCGTGCTGAATAAAAGTATTACGCTATTTCATAAAAAAAATAAATAAAAAAAAATATATATATATATATTTGACCCCAAACATATGAAATGTTCCCACAGTTCCTTTATGTTAGTTCAGAGAGTGTTTTGGAGGATAAAAGAAGCAAAATTGTGTTTTTAATCAGTCTTCTCAACAGATAAACCTCAAATAACTTTATTATGTCTTCAGGATTAAAGGAAAAACAACCAACGGCCGAGACATAAGGAGTCCCACACAAACGTCCAAGAAATCGATAATATCTCCACTCTGAAACAATGGCAGGTAAACAAAGTCAACTCAGAACTCTGACCCAATAGGAACACACAATTTCCTGCACAGATGTGATTTTAATTGGAAAACTTCCTTTTGCTTCCTGAAATAGCTTGTTAACAATTTGTTATAAATAGCTTGTGCAGTCTCAACAATCTGGAGCTCAACACGCTCAAAACTGTGGAGATGACCGTGGACTTCAGGAGAAACCCCCCTGCTCTCCCCCCACTCACCATCATGGACAGCACTGTGACTGCAGTGGAGTCATTCAGGTTCCTGGGCACCACAATCTCTCAGGACCTGAAGTGGGACACTCACATTGACTCCATTGTGAAAAAGGCCCAGCAGAGGTTGTA